GTGTAATCTGGTAGAAATTTACCGACGTTTCAGAGGTGCTTGCTGCCTCCATCATCACCCTGAGTCAGTAACCACATCTGAAATGTCGGTCAATTTCTACCAGATTACACGGCGCAACATCCCGGAAGACATCTTCAAATTCGCCACAATGAAATCTCACCACGCGAGAAATAATCTATATATGGGAATGATTTGGAAAAATTCGATCGTGACATATATTCGTCTTCGAGTGAAAGTGGGGGGGGGGGGGGGGTTCAGAATGTAGGAATTTGTAAGGTTTTAAGTCATTTAAAAAGAACAGATGGTGACAAAGTAAATATTAGGCCCTAATACGAGACCATCTCCAAATATATTCAGATAATGAATATAATACAGGACCTAAACTAAAAATGGTCTCTTCGTGCCCAATATAAAACGGAACTAGAAGTGATGAATTCGTGACTGATCCAACAGGAAACGAATTATCGTTAAATATGAGCAGATCATTACAAACTGAAACACCTTTAAAACAAAACGAGCCAAAGTATACATTGGCGCATACGCGCTGAATAATGCAGAAGCCGCGGTTTCATGATGAGAAATAATTTTGCACGCAACACATTTTGTTCCAGACTGAGGTCACCCTACATGAGCAATATTGTATGTTAGATTACGAGTGTATAAAATGTCTTCTCTTCCGCTTCGCCCCTTCTTCATTCGCTCTTTCGCCTGCCAACCCCCACCCCCACCCGAAAGTAGATGGAGTCGTACCCACCACCACGGCACCTCGCCCTCTTTGCTTGGGTTTCTTCGTCTACCCTTCTTTTTCGCCTGTCTACGGACCCATCCCCCGTACCACCCTCTACCGCCAACTCCGGTAATTAATTTTTCCACCAGCCTCCTCCATCCTCCACCTCTCTTCTCCTTACATTTTCCTTTCCCTTTTTTTCCCCATCTTCATTTCTTTCGTCCGTTTCTACTACATCTCGTTACGAAAAAAAGGATCGGTTTTACTGTTTCTACTTACAGTCCGTTCACAAAATCATGGCAACTAACACAAGCCCGTCACACGATCACGGCCTACAAGAGACTACGGCTCATCTATGCGATCATTTTCTCCCAATTCGCATTACACCTCATTCTATGTTCATGCAGGGCGATCTTCAAAACCTCGCGATTTTTACAACTGCAACTTAGGAGCACTTGGGAGTAGCAGAATCCGGTCACTGATAGCCGAAAACGTCCTAATTCCGTCTTCCGCCTGAAGCATTCTGAGGCAGTGAATCTTTAAAAAAAAAAAAAGTCTGACACCCTGTGTGGTGGATCAGCCTACTGCAACGCCAGACCCTTACTCGCACGTGCATAATTATATACGACACGACCAATTAAGAAATGTGTTCCACACCTCCCCAGTCATTTCTAGCCCATCATATATCACCCTGCCTTCTTACTTCGGTAACTGATGCAACGTCGTTAAATAACTAGAAAGCCAAACAAACAGGAACTACGTATTTGAGCCCATAATTCCACCGCGTGATCACCCTCCCACGTCATTAAATACCGAAAACCTCTACAGCAGAGACAGCGTCGTTAAATTATTTTCCAGTATATCAGGAGGGTTCCAACGACACAAGAAGCAGCTATCCGGACCTCCAATACGCCCACTCCACGTGGTACCATTTGTACACCTCCCCACCGACCCACGCAACTCCGTCCCCTTCTCAGCGTCACTACCCGACCAGAGCGGCGCCCGCCGTCGGCGCTAAAAGGCTTCCTCCACCCCCTCAAGGGAGAAAAAAAACTCCGTCGGACCTTCAACCCTTCTCCCTTCAAAGTTTACTTCGTCACACATAATATCCGAATGTCAGTAGCGCAGATGACTTCCAAATTTTCTTTTCGCGTTCAAGGGCTTTAAATTTGACTTGGAACTTAAAACCACTGCAAAATTCCTAACAGGAGAGAGGCTGTAAGTTTCATCTCTCGGAGGAGCAGTTGGAATAAAAAAAAAAAATCAAAAACTTAAAATTTATTTACTGAACTGAATGCAGATGATTATCAACTGGGTACGGAACTTGGTGTACGCTGGAGTCACCGGTCTTCGTGGACGTCCCGTCGTTCAGTCCGAAGTCCCGTACTTCGTCGAGTGTGGGTTATTCCTATGAACATCCTCAAAACGCCGAGGTGCTGCTCAGATCCATAAAGCCTCGTTTATGACCCACATTTTAACCGATATAATTCTGAGCTCTTGAGACTAGGTGGGTCATCTGACCCATGACTAATGAAGACGAATGACCATGTAACTGAGATAAGGTTGTAAGTGATGAGTTAACGTCCCACGTTAAGGACACCTCAGCGCCCTTTATGAATGTTTTTCTTTTCAATTCCAGGGCCATGACAGACTTGACAGCCACCCCAGGGAACTAGCGTCCCTGCGTGTTGTACAAGGTACTAACTCCCATCACCCAAATTTTAGACCCAATAATTTCTTTTCCTAGGTGTTAAGGATACGATTCGCTCCTTGGTCTCCGTACTTGACGGTCGGGGATCGGTTCCCGGAAGTATCGGTGCGAAGTTTGTATTTTCCAGCAAGTTCAGAACAGTTCTGGAGCGCGTGATGCGTCCTCCAGATGAAAGAATACGGTGCATAAAACTGGCTATTAAATCTCCATGAAATTCTGAGGGTAAGCATAACGCACGAGATTCCTCTCAGAAAAAAAGATACGGACATTTGATTATCCGGAAGCTTTCAAGTTCCAACTAGTAACAGTACATTACAAAGTCAAGCTTTCACACTGCAATGACAGGGATATCGCTTTTGAAATTATCGCTCGATGACAGGCGATATGTTTCGAAAGCAACTTCTCTGCCATATTACCTATCGCTAAAGAGAGGTGTTGTTTGTAGTGGCTTGTTGCATTATCCAATGAACGATCATGTGTGCAAGCGCATCATAGCGGATACGTAACTGAAAAACAACTAAATATTAAATTTGTTCAAACTATAGCACGTGAGTGTATGTAGTGATTTCCCCGACATTTTCACAAACTAGCAATTTGATCCCTTTGAAATGCACAGGCGATATGATATCGCCTATCGCTTACTGCTACCTGGTTCTGTGTGAACCCTACCAAATAGAGTCAGTCTGTTCAAACTCAACTTGTGGAAGCATCCTGCGATATGCTTATCCATTATTCATGTTGCCAGGTGAATTGTGTCCTCAGACTCGCTCGCACGGTCCAGACCTGTCTGTCTCCTCGACTTGTCTGATCTGATGCTTGGCCAACCTGTCAGGCTACTCAACTTCCGGTTGGCTGTTCAAGAAGTCTGTTGCTCACTTACACTGCACGGTCAGGCGGCATTGTTATAGTGCAGTTCCAGTATGGACCGAC